GGTTTTCTCACTGCTTTCTCTTCCCCAGGCGAGCTGGATTCCAGGCTGAGCTCAGATACCACGTTCATGAGTCGCTGGCTTCCTTTGAATGCCAATAACCTCTTGCAGGACCTGGTGAAAGTGGTGGGACTCTATACCTTCATGCTCAGCACGTCACCTCGGCTCACCCTCCTCTCGCTGCTCAACTTCCCCTTCTTGTTAGCAGCGGACAAGGTGTACAATGCACGCCATCAGGTACGTGTGGGTGGGAGGGACTCCCAAGAGGAGGGGAAAACTTAACGGAGAGGTGATCCCTGATTCATAGCTCGGAGCAGTGGCTCTTAGTGGGAGCTGCGGGGTGGGAGTCCACAGATGAACTTCAGACCCCCTGAAACTATACAAAACTTTGTGTGTGCGCATTTCTTAGGTAGAAAGTAGCTTTGATCAGATTACCCAAGGTGTATGTGATTGCCTTCCCCACAAAAGATTAAAAATGTGCTGGGAAAAAAGTTTGCCCTCTTCGAACTGGCAGAAGGAATTAGAATGAGTGCAGGGAAAGTAGCAGGTGCAGTCAGGAGGTCCTGCGTCTGACGTCAGCTCCACCATCTCTTAATTCGCAGTGGCTACTTGAGCAAGCTACTCCACTTTGTGTTGTTGTTTTTTGAATGAACAGTTTTATTGGGGCATAATCCAAATATCATACAATTCAATAGTTCAATCATATAAAGAAGAGTTTCACAAAAATTGCCACAATCAATTTTAGAACATTTTCTCCTTTCTATAGTCGTTGTTATTAGCTCCCTGTTTCCCCCAACCTCCTCTGCTGTACCCTCCAAAGAACCATTAATCCACTTAGTGTCTCAATAGACTCACCCATCCTCGATTTCATGTACTGAAAAGCCTACAGAAACAAGAAACCGAGGGTCAAAAAAGCTAACAATAACAAAATTAACTAGAGTCGAAAGCCCAGTTGAAAAGAAAACAGAAAGTATTAAAAGCTAAAGCAACTTTAAAATGGGTCAGAAGGGAGATGATATGATAAGATGTTAGATTTTAACCTAACTACATCCGCCATACTACATTTTCCAGTGCACTCCGAATGACAGCAAGGCAATTTTCATCCCTGGTCTATGTTCAGAGAGACTTCACAGGAGACTTAATCCATGTGCATTTCCCCTTCACTTTTTTTTTTTTAACTAAACTGATCGAACTTTTAAATGAGTCAAAAGGGGGATCAAATCACATGTTACTTTTTAACCTCGCTATATGTACTCTAACCATCTCCACAATAGCCTCTGTCTGATAACAAGGCTATTCACATCCCTCCACTGTGGTCAGAGGGAAGTCACTGGGGAGTCTAACCTATGTGTGAATCTTGTAAGTGAATTTTGGGCTCCTACTGTCATCCACAGCCTTGGCAAACCAGGTGCTCACTTAGTTGGCACCTCCCTTGGATGCTTGCTTGTTTGAAGACAAGCCATTAAGAATCCAGATCCTGTTCTTTCTGATAGCTGGGCACCACCTAGTTTCTTCACTACATTCCTATGGAAGAAGCACACCAGCCTGTGTGATCCAAGGATCATATAATTCAAACAATATAATTAATAATATAATTATTTCAAATCTGACGGAGGTCATGGTATCAGAGCTTAAAATGTGAACATTTGATAACACCCATATCTTCAGTGATCTCCTTCATGAGGGTGCATATCAAGCAGGGTCATGACATAAGAACTAATTGTCCGTAGAGTGGGCCTAGAATTAGTAAGTGTAAGCTCAAAATCCATTTATCCATCTATAATTATATATGTCTCTGGTTCACTGAGAGATATCATTGTGTTCTAGAATATTATCAATCATCTCTCTGGGGTGTAAGGTTATTCTATTGATAGTGTCATTGATTTGGTCAGTGGTAAGGAATTTAAAGCGCAGTTGAGAACAAGAGGTCAGACAAGTGTAGGCTGGCTATCAACCACAATATATGCGTCACTGACTTATACAGATTAAATTCCTAAGTGTTTGAACACTGTTTACACAAACAGTGGGGGCTGGTGTTAAGTTAAAACTTTCAATACCATTTATTGACAGAGGCAGTAATAGGCCTACCAGATTAATACATATCTTAATAAAGCAAGAATGGCATTGAAACAGTAAGTATACGGTAGTCTGACAACTACCTTTGAAATGACAACCATATGCTTCTCACACTACGTACTTTAGGCCTTCAGTTCAAGGGCTACAGGAAAGTTTGATGTAGAGCCCAGTTCACTTAGTGAGGTTCCATATTGAATCCCTCTGGTGTGACTTATAAAGGATGTTGTGCACCTCAGAAGCAGGGTCTAAGGTCCCCGTAGTCTGTAACACATCCCCTGTGTCATCAGGGACTAAAGGGAAACGAGGCCTAAAGTATCTAATTAGGAACCGAGTACCAGGCATATTCTCCCCTTGGGTTCTGTATAAGTATTGTTGGGTTTGTTGAGTTGGTTTGAGGGGTTTTCCCCATTGGGAGGTTGGTCCTCCTCGTTGTCCTAGCAACAGAAATGCACTTACCTTCTTCAAGATGTGCATGCCCCCCTTGCCCCATCTTGACCTGAATTTCCCACCAAATGTGTTTTTCACTCTGATGGAAGTATCTGTTGATTTGGGGGGGTCTTAGCATAATTTTGTACAACAGCAACTAACCGGTCATCTCCCTCTCCTCTGATCTTGAAGAGCAGTCTCCAGCGGCAGTGACTGCAGCTCCTCCGTCAAAGTGGTTTTTAAAGATATGCTTATAGAAGGGGTGCTGCATGCTTCATGGGCTCTAGTTAGGCTCTCTACCACGTTGTCTGACAGACTGGGTTAGCGGATTGCGTGACCTTGAAGCAGGAACCTGCTTTCCTGTTGGTATTCATCCTTCAACTAGTGGGCTTGTCCAATATTTGTGCTTTTGTGACTGGCTGACTTCACTCAGCATAATGGTCTCCAGATCCCTCTACATCATGAGGTGGTTCAAGATTTCATGGCTGTTTCTCAGGGATTAACAGGACTCCATTGTGTGCATATACCAAAAGGTTTTTTTTTAATCCATGGTTCTACTGATGGGAATTTGGGCTGTTTCCAGCTTCTTGCCATTCTGAACTGTGTTGCCATGAACATGGGAGAGCACATATCTATTTGTGTTCTGTTTCATTTCTTTGTACGCCTCCATTTCTCATCAGAGGCTGGTGGGGGTCGGAGTGGCCTCATGTGAAGGTAGAAAGACACCGCGGGTATCTCCCACCCTCCCTGGCACTGCGAGCTCAATTGTGTTTCCTCCTCTCTCACTCTCTTTATGCCTCGTGGAAGGACATGCAAGGAAGAGGGGTCGTTTCCGGTCCATTGGGGAGCATCCCCAGGGCTGCAAGGAGATACCGACCTGCTGTCCTCCGCCTCATGGGCCCTGCCTCCCCTGCCCCACTCTTTCAGGCGTTGCTCCTGGAGATCCAGGATGCTGTGGCGAAGTCAGGGCAGATCGTGCAGGAGGCAGTCGGAGGGCTACA